TACACATACTATATATAAACACACACCACACACCCAACAAAGCACACACACATGTACAGAGATATACACATACACCACACACACCCCCAACACACCACACACATGCATGCACACACAGAGACATACACATACACCAAACGCACTACACACATGTGCACACAGACTAAACACACACACCCAACACACCCCACACAGCACACCCCCAACACACCACACACATGCATGCACACACACAGACATACACATATACCAAACGCACTACACACATGCACACACAGACTAAACACACACACCCAACATACCACACACAGACATACACATATACACACACTACACATACACACACCACACACACTGCACGCACACGCGGCGGGGATCTGTTTGTGAGGCTAGGGTGAGGCAGAGCGGCAACATGAATTACAAAAGAAATACTTCCATGGAATGCCGCATACAGAGCTAGCTGTGACATTTTATAGATTTGTCCAATTCTGAGCAGACGCTCTTCTGGAATAATTCATAAAGGTTGGCAAATCTGTTCTCAGCCAGAATGGTTGTGTGTTTTAGGGGGGGTGGCCATGGCTGGTGAGGTGTAGGACTCCCGTCCTGGTTCCCACGGTTCAGGGCTTGCCCAGCCTTCATCCGGGCCTGGCTCAGTAGGATCGCTCAGACCTGTCACCTGGCATTCCTTGTTCCTGGGCCGCATGCAGTTTCTCTTCAGCCTGGTGAGTGGCCGCTGCACAGCCTGACCTCGCCCTGCCTTCGGGCCCCACCAAGTGCTGACACAGGGCGAATCGCAGGGCCTCAGGCCCAGGCCGCTCTGTTCTGAGCCAGTGGGTCAGTGGTCACTGTGCACAGACAAGCCTCAGCAGTGCCTTCGCCTGCGGGAGGTATGAGGTGGGGGTGGGGGTTGTTTTTCTGTGTGTGTTTTCTCTCTCCTGTTTGAAGAAATGTGTGTGTATGTGTGTGTGTGTAGAGCCAGCTTTCAAGAAAGGTATTCAAACAGTCACAAAAACAATGTATAGATATGTTGTGGTTACTGGTTTCTTTTCCAGTAGGAGCAATGGATTAAAATTCACTTTAAAATAAAATGTAACTGCCATGCTGACATAGAGTGGCCCGCAGGCTGTGATGCTAGGAAGTCGTCCTGTTGCTCCGCCGTACTGACAGCTCTAAACACGTGCGGCCTGGTTAGGAATCTGACTGAGCCACAGACTGTAGGCCAGGCCTTCGACTTCCCTTTCTCTGCAGGGACGGCACTGAGAGAGATGATCACGTCCTGGGGACCAGATGGAGGTTCATCTAAGAATAAACTCGTTTCCGGGTAAAAGGCGGCCGAGGACCCAAACGGAGGACAAGCCTGCCGGGCGCGACATGTGATGTCACTCTACCATCTTAACCATTTACTTTTCTTGACTGAACTGTTGGAAGTTACTCAAGGTCAAGAAATATAATATGTTGAATGACTTTAACACTTACCTTCGGTAGCACTGGGCACCCACGTTTGTCAGGAAACAATAGAGTTTCTGCCCTGCTTCCCTCACAGAATTTTTTCGGGGATCAAAATGGGAGCATGGAGTCACGTTAACTCTAAAATGATAGAGAAACTCCTTGTCATCCACAGGACATGTCTGAAGAACGAGCCGGGGCAGGTACACTTGCCTGTACACGGTCAGATAGGTCGACACCCAAGAAAGTATAGTAAAACCTTGGGGTTGTGGAGGGTGTCCACAGAAGAGCTGAGACTGTGAGGTGCTCTCTCGTTGGCCCTGGTGTCGTATTGAGACAACTGTAAATGTCCTTCTGTGAGCTGCCTGGCCACCTGGAGAGCTGAGGTTTGACTCTGTGGGAGTCGCACCCGTAGAGAAGGTGGGAGCGGAAGGATTGAGAAAAGGTTGGGTGGCCCCTGACTGGGGAGGGGAAGAGCATGTCCCCGTCTGCGGAGAGGGACGGAACCAGGGCTCTCGCCCAAATCCAAGGCATTGCCCATGGGGTGGGGGCTCACAAAGGGTGTGAGAGGCAACCACAGAGGGAGGTGAACTTAGGAGTATTTTGGCGAAATTTGGAGGAGAAAGGTCATAATATTTTAATCAGCATGGATGTAATGAGAAGTTAACTACATTGATTCCATTACTGTTCATTGGAAATAGGTATGGGAATCTACTTATTGTGTTGTTCTATTTCAGAAAATATTCCTCTTCACCCTTCCTCTCGGTCTGTTCTCTACCCTGGCTTTCCCGCTGGTCCCTGGCACAGGGCTGCTCTTTCTACCGGGTTCCTGGGGCTGCAGCTGCGCTGGTTGGGAGGGGTTGGGGGGAGACATGGTGGAGGTGAGAGTGCTGAGCCTAGTGACTACCATCTAGTAAAAAGTGCTTGGAGTTTTTCTCAAGCAAAAAGCAGATGCTGTTCATTGTTCACTGGTCATCTTCATGAGCCCCTGAAGGCACAGGGCTTTGCTTGGAGTCTGTTTAGATGGGGAAGGATTGCTGTCCCTGGGTGAGTAGGTGAGTAGGTGAGTAGGTGGACGTTCTCAGGAAAGACCTGGAGGAGAATTTGATTCATGGACAGCGCCTGCAGCACGACTTGCTGCCTTGTTTTCCTGGATTGTTTAAAAGCCAGCATAGCTCTTCGCCCTGCCCTGCGTACACTCCTTCTCTTAGGGTGTTGTAATGTACCCCGCGAATCACAGAAGGACGCCTCAAGAAGTCGAATTAAAGAGTCACATTTATTGCAATCCGGGACTATGAGGGGTCATTCCCAAATCTCATAGTAATAAGATGGTGGCAAAACCAGACTTATATAGGCAAAAATCACAAAGGTATTGATTACATCCCAGGGTTTGGAATGAGGACCCTGGTTTGCACAAAGCAGTTACAGAAGCGAGATTGAGCTGATTAGTTATCTACAAAGATTGTTTATAGTTTTGGGTCTTTGGACCTCTGAGTTGACAGAAACATTATTTAGAGCCCTCGGGTCTTGGGTCCACTGAGTTGACAGAGAAACATTATCTGGAACCCTCAGGTCTTGGGACCACTGAGTTGACAGGGAACGCACCATCTGTGGACACTAAAACAATTTAGGGTAATTGTGCTGTCCTGTTTCCCAGGTACAGAAGAATGTGCTTCGATAACCAGTAAGATCACAATCAATGGGATAGTCATTCAATCAATAAGGCATTCAATCGAATGGGATGATTTATACAATTCAGAAAATCAAAATAACCTGTCCATTGTTAAACAAAGCAAATAGGTACCATACTTCA